GCGAAGGTCTCTCCAACTTAGGAAAGCCCTCATTAATTTCAAAACTTAGATTTTATAAGAGTATTAATAACGGGTATCAGACCGCCTAGTCAACAAATAGAAAACGGTTCTACAAACATTTCACATTTACCCTTCCGCTTCAGTAATATTGAACTCATTTAACTTTCTAAATTTACTTGTTAATGCGTAATTTCATCATGTTTGCCCCCCATCTAATAAACATAAAAATTTTCTTGCCTGGGTTATTTTTAATTCGCATTCGGTGTGGTTTCAGATCCTTTTCATCACTTTATTGCAGATGTTTTGTCTCGGTGTTATTTTTGTTCGCCGATTTAAGTCTGTTTTATTATTGATCCAGACTGCTCTTTTCATTTTAATTTGTATAATGTTTGACTTATGCCTGCTTTCACCCAGAAAAAAAAGAGCGCGAGAAGAAAAAGGGCCACAATACGTAAAGAAAGGGAATTGAGTGTACTTTTTATGAACCTGTATAAAAGTTATGAGTGCCTAATTAAACTCCCAGGTTGTAAGAGTACATAATCCGCTGTAATTAATAATAAAGGCCAAATGAATACCAACTCAGCCAAATTTTTTCTGTTAAAAACCGTGGAGTAAGATGAAGTCTAAGAATAAATCCAAATACTAAACTGACTGTTAACACTATGGTGTTTCAGTCAAATCATACAAATAGTACAATGTGCCAGAAAAATAAAAAAAGGTTTGGATTCGACTGAGGTCAAAATGTATCCGGAGAGGCATAGAATCCTTGACTGGAGTCACTGACAATAATGCTGAATTCTATGCAGTTGAGGAAAGAGAAATAGAGGATATAAAAACCGACATAATGGTGCCGAATTGGAAAAGAAACTTGAACACAAATGTAAAAGGCTACATTGCGTCCCGTATACTCGGTCGTCCTAAAAAGGACAATGAGGATCTTTAACATCCGCACCTAGCTTATTCGGCCTTATCGGACGTTTTGATTTTCAAGGTGAGAGCTGACGCACTCCACATACGACAGAAGTGTGTTACTTCCGCAGCGTTGGTGTAGAGGTAGCTCAGCCTTGAGGGGCCAAGACAACCTCGCTCCCCGCTTGCCCATTCCGAGTGGTCGGGTCCGCATTAAGCATCAAACCGTATGCCGCGCGCAAAGGGCTACCTAAGCCAAAATACACCAGCCTGGTTTCCCGCGCACTCCCTAGATAGAGAAGGGACTTCGAACCCACGACCTTCGGCTACATACGCCGCCGTTCTACCACTTGAGTATGGTGACTTCGATCCACTCGGACACTAACTTCCCATCTCAACCCCACCTTCGGAATTTTCCCTCCTTTTTGCCATTTTTCAATGTAATCTATTCGATACTCGGCGACAAATGAAATGGCCACGGAGTGCTTTCGTGAAGACGTACTTCATTTTACTTATTAAATTCATTAGGGTCCGTGGTCCGATTGACCAAATAACTACTTTTCAATTAATTAATCTTTATGCAAGGTGAAAGCTGAGGTGGTGCAGAACAGGTTTTTTAACGCTTATCACACACAGGATACACCAAAACAACACAAATTTTTATGCAATCAAATTTTTTAAACATGAGAGGTTAGTATTGACAGAATATGCTATCGAATAGGTATAGTTTGGACGAACGATAAGTGCCTAGCTGAGTAAAAAATGCCCTCAAAAATAGCTGGGATTTTATGTCTCTCAAAAGCCCGATAGCATAAAAGAATGTAACATGATTAACTTGAGGTAAGTTTCGCTAGACAGAAACTCTATTGTAAATGTTACGTAACCAACTTAAAACAAAAATGTAAATATAATTTCTGTTTTTCTGGTTGTAACGTCTAGATTAAATGCGTCGCTAGATCATCCTATTACAATAAAATAAGGGTAAGCATAAAGAATAGTAACCTGAAGACGCATTGTCACCGTTGAGAGTCGCCTGGAATGACTGAGAGGCCATTAACCAGGGAAGGAACCCTGTAACAATGGAGTCAGCTGTTTCAGACGAGGAGAGGGTATCGGTCATAGCCCATTGTCGGCTCCTGACCTGTCCGCGACATGTTTATAGACGGCTTCCTCTCCAAATCCACTTCAGCATAACCACTCCAGCTACGGCCCTTGGATAAGCTCTGACCCAGTAACAAGTTTTCGAATCCACCGTTACACACTCGAAAGTACTTAGGTTGTCAAATTTATTAACTCTTTACTTATAACTATTGCACCCGGTTAGGTTTGGTTTTTATACTAATAAAATATCTCATAGTTTAAATTGGCCAATAGTTGCTTATTAGTGAATTGCGCAATGTTTTTATAACAATAATTTTTTAAATTTATTATAACATATGGAATTTCGGATAAAGGTTTTGCTTGGTAAAACCTAATAATATGGGAAAAATCAGTCGTAATGGAACTCAAATTTTTAAATACAAATTTTCATCAAATGCAACAGTTTTGCCAGTTTTTAATGTGTTAATAACTTTTTATTTAAGGACTTGGTTGAGATAAAAAAGCTAATGTCACGAGTGGGATTTGAACCTACGACCTTCGTCTCAATACGCAACTTGTACCGCTTGAGGTTTGGTGACGTTGATCCACTAGGACACCAACTGCTGGTACCAATCTCAACCTAAATCCTTTCGATTTTTACCTCGTCATATTTTCAAATACCGTATGAGCACGGTTCGATTCTCAGTGATTTATAAAGTAGCCACGGGGAGCTGTTAGCTAAGTAATGAAAATCCCATTTAAGTTAGAAGTTTGGGTAGAACACTAGGTAACGGATTTGTTAGGTACTTCTAAATGTGAACGTCACATGCCAGCTCCTTTTTCATTTAGTTGGCTACCAGTCTAGGTGGTCTTGGGTTGCTTTTGATGCATGTGAGTCGAGGATTGCGATGTCACCCGTAAAGGTCGTGATGCGGGTGTTAGGGTATGCCCGCAGTGTAGACTGGGTAGAGGATCGGTCCCAGGATACTCCCTTGGGGAACATCGGACTTGATGACTGAAGGTTCAGAGCCGATTCTTACCTCAAACCATCCATGAGGAAGGATTTCGATATTTCCTAAAGATATTTTTTAATTTGAAAAGGAGACCGGCGTGCCACACTCTGTCAAATGCATCCGTAACATCTAGGAAAACTGAGACCTACCCTCACAAATAGTGCAGTAGTCTGGGCTAATAAGCAAAAGAAAAACTCTAAAATAAAGACTGGCATGCGCTTGCAGAATGGGAGCGCTGAAAACATTATCCAAAGCTGGTATGGAGGAAATATTGGTATTAATCCCTCTCCACCAGACAATACTGACGACAGCACAGACAACTATTATTAACATTATCAAAGAGAAAGCTCCAACTGGGCTGAAACTAAAATCAAGTAGTAGTAGCACTCTAATAAAGTAACATCCGATATTCATGGCCTCGAGAGATGACATGAACTGGATGTCTTAGTCCAAGCAAAATTTCCAAATAAATTTAAGTACCAAAAAAAAAAAAACAAAAAAAAAAAAACGGGAACGTCTTAGAAATCACTCCATCGAGCCATCAACTGCTGTTATACTGACTTGATTTCAGTGGTTGAATATTTTCTACGGTTCAATTGCACATCCCAAAAAACTTCCTCCTGCAAGCAAATGTACGCTACACTTTGTTAATAGGTGTTTTAGTGTCTTCTGTGCTTCCTTCAGAATCTGCACATGCCTTGTTGGATTATTCCAATCCTCAGATAGGCCTATCAATCTGCTGTGTCCTGTTAAGAATTATTAGTATTTTTCTGCTTCCTGTGGTGCCCTCTGTTGTTTCTTTCCTTCCAAAATATACGAGTACTTTCTTGGAGTGAAGAAAATGAAGGAAAACACGCAGCGTGCCGGTCATGGCTTCAGCATTTGTCGGCCCATAATGTTCTTGTTGTAAGGCCCTGCTGTCTTAGTTGCTTTATGTTTTAATATTTGGTCTGAAGTAGCAATATCGTTTCGTTATCACTATCCTCTTGAAAAACAAGAAGTTCAATCTTTTCCCTGATCTAATGTGGAACTCTATGAATTTTGCTGTACTGTGGTTTTCAGTTTTCAAAAAGCCGACTCTCTTCAACCCTTCACGCACCTCCTTTGGCGAGAGAATTGCCTTACCTACTTTTTTTTGACAACTTGTTAGATATTCCTTCATTAGGCTGTTGCTATTTTTCCATTTTATTTGTGTAGCTTTCTTTTTGATAATGTTAATAATAATTTTCAATTAATTAAGGTTTTTAGTTGAGATAAAAAAGTCAATGTCAATACGCCGCTACTCTACCACTTGAGCTATCGTGATTTAGATCCACTAGGACACTAACTTCCCATCTCAGCCCCACCTTTTGAGTTTTCCCTCCTTTTTGCCATTTTTCAAATGTTGTGTAATCTATATGATTCTCGGATACAATTCAAATGGCCACGCAGAGCTTTAGTGAAGATTGACTTCATTTTAACTTATGCAAATTACTAGTTTTCGTGATCCGCTTGACCAATTAATATCTTTCAATTAATTAAGGTTTTTAGTTGAGATAAAAAAGGCAATGTCACGAGCGGTATTCGAACCCACGACCTTCGGCTAGATACGCCACTATTCTACCACCTGAGCTATCGTGACGTCGATCCACTCGGACACTAACTTCCCATCTCAACCCCACCTTTTGAATTTTCCCTCATTTTTGCCATTTTTCAAATGTCATTAACTTTTTTATCTCAACTAAAAACCTTAATTAATTGCATGATATTAACTGGTCAAGCGGACCACGAAATCTAGTGAATTGAAGGAGTTAATAATAATTTTCTATGGTGTTCTCATTATCATCCCAGTATTTTTTCCATACCAGCTGAGGGACATGTTCTCACCGCTCCAGTTTGTAAATGCATTTTCATGAGTGCTCTGTTTTATTATCTGCTTTTTTATCGGTCCAGGTTATTCCGCCATATGTGAGGTCGCGCCATCATGGTTGATGAGGCTATGTTCATTCCAGAGCAGGGTTTCTGGTGTGCATCCCCAGTTTTTCTATCTTTCCGGACCATCAAGTGCTCGTGTGGCTTTCTTAATAGTACCGATATGTCCTCAATTGCCAGTGTTTTGTCTAGTGTGACGCCCAGGTATTTGCCTTTTCATTTCTACCGCAATATTTTTTTTTTCTTTTTTTAACGAGGGTCGCAACAGCAAAGGTTATATCAACCCTAGGGGTGCCGGTGTTTAAAAAAAGCCCATTTGTTGTCGGGTTCGAATGCAGGGCCGCGGGATTCGAACCCAGGACTTTTACCTTTGATGAGCGCCTTGTCAACGCCTAAACCGTTGCAGCCACCGACGCCCCTATCGCAGTATTATTGGGTTTTATTTGTCTCGTGTGATACATTTTTGTTTCAAGTATAAAAATAACTATGGCTGTTTTGTTAGAGTTAATCTTGCTTTTTTACACCATCCGTCTGTGATTTTTAGACCTTCTTGAATTATATCAAAAAGCGTTTTTTTAAATTTTCCTCTGCCAGTCAAGATCATATCGTCCTCATAGCCCTGGGATTTTATCCTTTTGTGATCCTAAGTCTCAGCAGGAGAAGTAGAAAATCTACTATAGTCAATAACAAATTTTAAACATTTGCATTTCTTCTGTCTGTAGTCGGACTGGTATCGTTGATTTTACTTTACTTAAATTCAGGGCTTTTCTTACCGATGAAAACAAAGTTTTTTGGAAACACAGTATAATCCGAGAAGGCTGGAAAAGAAATAATAAAATAAGATCATTATAGAAAGCGAGGAGTCGTAACAATAAACTTTCTCTACAAGTTTTTTTTTTTCACTTAGAGGGCAAAGTTGTGTATTATTAAAGGTGTGGGCGCTTTGAGAAAGTTGTGACGATTTGTGACATCTAATCTATCGTTGAAAAGTTGTTTGGGGCGCATCTCACTCCGGAGAAAGTTTGGCCCTCCCAGGCCAAAGAAGCTTTTCCAACGGAAACAAATTTCCCTTTTAACATGTGACGTTTTCCCAAAACACGGTCCTATTGTTTTCGTACTTAGACAAATCTGCCCGTCACTCCCTTCTCTTCTTAATCTCGCCAGTGAATTCTCAAGTTTCGAGGAGGGTGTGACCTCAGCGAAGTTGGATGGTCTTACAGAGAGATGAATCAACAGTTGGAACCAAGGGAATGGAAAATGTTTAATAAGTTAGTTCTCAGAGCTACGTTTCTCCCTTCGGTATAATTATAGGAAAACTTGTTTCATTCACGCAAGGAAAATAGCACTAGCACACGATTGTATTTAAAGTACAAAAACAAATCCATAGTTTAATTGATTGTCAGTTCAAATACGATTTTTAATCAAAACAACGTTTTATCATTTTATACTTGCATATTTTTCCGGTATCGTTTTTCCATTTTGCAGGCAATCCGGAATTACATTCCTATCATTTTCACTGTTTTCTTTGCTATAAGACTAGTTCAAACCATTATTTGGAATTGAAAAATTCCGAGTCATAACAATGTTACGTTAAATTATTTATCCTTAGTGGTTATGTTTGCATTAAAACAGTTAAACTATAGTTAAACTATTGCTTCCATTTTGACTTAATTTAATTAAAATTTATTCTGCAATAGGCACATACACTGATAGACAATTTTAACGTTTGAAAAATGGTAAAAAGGAGGGAAAATTCTAAAGGAAGTAGGTTGAGATGGGGAGTTGGTGTCCGAGTGGATCGAAGTCACGATAGCTCAAGTGGTAGAGCAGCGGCGTATTTAGCCGAAGGTCGTGTGTTCGAATCGCGCTCGTGACACTACATTTTCAACTAATACCTACATAAAGATTAAATAATTGAAAGTATATATTGCTTGGTTTAGTTCCTTTTTTTACTTTTGTACTGATTAACTCGATTTGCTCAAACAGTTGCATTAAGCCCTTCCATTCTGCTACTCCTAAAAATCGCTTTCCGTTAATCATTTTCTTTTGTAAAATTCCATAACAATCTCTACCCTAAACGCATAATTAACAGAATAATCAACAATTACAACTCAACACTAACACCATCCACTATTACTAATAATTCTGCATTAAGTCTATCAAACACAAGCAAACCAGCATACATTTCCATGCCATTTATTCAAGGCCCATCACATAAATTAAACACATTTCTCTTGTCCGATAACTTCAAAATAGCTTTCAACAATTATAAAACAATTCAAACACTTTTTTCCAAAAATAAAGATCCCACACCAGTAACAAATAAATCTGACGTAATCTACAAGATCAACTGTTTAAACTGTCCGGCAACTTACATCGGTCTTACATCCCAATATCTGGACAAGAGAGTAAAACAACATATCTATGATTGCAAAAAACCCAAGCAAAATCCTACAGCACTCCCTACCCACCATTTTGAACACCAACACAATTTCGACTTAAAAAATCCAAAAATATTACATAAAGAACAAAACAAATATAAACGTAATTTCTTAGAAATGGTTTATATCAACAGAGATAAACACAGCATCAATTACAGAACAGATACATGTAAACTCAGTCGCAGCTACGCCAATATCATTAATCAAATTCAATACAGATAACATACCTATATCATCACATTACATTCCACACATCAAATATTTTTCACATAGTCTAATTTCCCAACAATTTAGCTTTCCTTTTCCTATTTATCCCTTTCTATATAATCTTGAAAGGATAATCTGGCCGAATCATTACCAACACATTTTTTCCCTTCGTCGGCTGTTTTCACCTCAAAGAAGCCGACGCCTTATACAAAAATGTCTTTTCTATACCTACTTCCTTCCCCACTCCTTCAAAATCCAACGTATATAAACACAAAATAGCAAAATCACACTGGCACTCTCAACACGACACGCAAGAATGGCACAATTACACAGAAGAGAAACACTTTGATTGAATATATATAAAAAATATATTTTGCATTGTATAAATTCACTTTTCCACATCCAAAATGTAATTGTTATATGTAAACAATGTTTGTAAATCCCAGCCCTGAAGATGATCTCAATAAAGATCGAAACGTTGGCACGATAAAGAAAATGTTTTTCTGAAACCTACATCACACCAGACCACATCTCACGATTTCTAAAAAAATATTCTTTTGTAAATTTCGTTCGATATTATTCTTATATTCACTAGTTTTCGTGGTCCGCTTGACCAATTAATATCTCTTAATTAATTAAGGATTTTACTGGAGCTATCGCCACTTCGATCTTTTTTATCTCGTTTATCTCGACCAATAACTTTCATAAATATTAATTAATTGAAAAATGTTAATTGGTCAATCGGACCACGAACTGTAATGGATTGTATATATAAATTATTTAGTGTATTATTTTTGTTGTCCTGTTTGTATGAGTGTGGTTGCGTGTTTGCTTGAATGAGCATGTTATGTGAAGCCCTTGTCGGTAGCCCTTAAAAAAAGTGTTGGTGGTTTGACGCAATGTCAAAAAAAAATTCAAAGAAGTAAAAATCACTTGTATAAATAATCATTCTTTTGTTTAGTTTAACTTTATAAGCAATTAATTAAGGTTTTTAGTTGAGATAAAAAAGTCAATGGCACGAGCGGGATTCGAACCACGATCTTCGGCTTGATACGCCGCTACTCTACCACTTGAGCTATCGTGACCTCGATTCACGCGGACATCAAGTTCCCATCTCAACCTACCTTTCGAATTTTTCCTCTTTTTTGCCATTGTTCAAATGGATTCAAAAGGATTCGATTCTCGGCGACACTGACAAACAAGCATTGACATTGCTTTTTTACTAAATGTAATTCGGTATCCTACAATTTTAGCCTCATTTGTACCTTTTTGAATTTTCCCTCCTTTTTGCCATTCAAAATGGGTGGTTGCGATGGGAAGTTGGTGTCCGAGTGGTCGAGGTCACGATAGCTCAAGTGGTAGAGCAGCGGCGTATCAAGCCGAACATCGTGGGTTCGAATCCCGCCCATGTCATTGACTTTTTTATCTCAACTAAAAACCTTAATTAATTGTAATATATTAATTGGTCAAGCGGACCATGAAATTAATGAATTTAACTTTATAAGTTTCCTTTTCATCACGGAATGCCGTGACATTGTTCACCAAAACTTGTGAAAAACCCAAAAATAAACTTAATAATTCATTATATGGATCAAATTATGGATAAGTTTAGAAAACGTAACATAATTTTTTTCATTTTTTTGAAATTCAATTTCTAATTTTTTCATTGTAGTTTTTTTTTAGCATAGAAACGAATAATCTTTGATATAATTTTTCCATTTAATGGTATAACAAAGTACTTAACCCATTGATGGGTCTTGCTATGCGCAATTTCGTATGAAATAAAAATGATTCAGGATATGTGTCCTTGGAGTTTCCTTGGTCAATTTATCGGCCTCCTTGTTGGAGTCCTTTACTTTATGAGGGTGATTTTGTAGTTTTGTTCAATTTCTGAAAGAGTCATAATGCAATCCCAAGCAGCTCTGGACTTTCCAACCGATGAAGTAGATGCCTTTAGTGTAATATAATAGTAAAATTTAAAAAAATTAATTAAAAAAATAATAAAAGCTAAAAGAATATTCACTTAAAAAAAGGTAAGAAACGTTCAATGAATGTCCGCAATTTGTATATATTGAAATAAGACACTTTTGTCATTACAAAATATGCAGTATTTTGCAGCTATTTTTATGTAGCGTTGTCCTGATAATTTACCAACTTGATACGTAAAAATACCTTCAACATCGCCATTTCAAATCCAACATATCTCCTCTTCATCTCACGCTACTAAAACATAGAAACCACTTTTGATGTGATGTTGGTATCACTATTTGATCAAAGAAATAGAGAGCAATGCAACATTGACCAACACATTAAGTGTATTGCAAAGTGACTTTAGATAATCTTTTATCTGTTTAATTAATGTAAGAACATGTGGCATTTTGATTGACGCCATGTAATTTATGTAAGTATTTATTGTTGGTTAAATTACATAAATTTATACAGCACTATGCAAGATGAACACAAAATCATCCCGACCTGAACAAGCATTAAGCACCACATAGAAATCATAGGTATAAGAATTATTTAATTACAGATTTTTCTTGTTTTTGTTTAAAATTGTTACTTTTACTAATATAGTTTAAACAATTTTTAGCAACTTTTCTGCTGATATATTTGAAGTAATAATTTTTTATGCGGCCATTTCTGCAAAGTTCCCCTACATTACCTGAATATTTTTTAATAGACCCTTCAAAGGTCAAAGGAAGGTGATATAATGCCAGGCAGTTTGTGTTATACTTTCAACAAGACAATAATTGAAAGAAATTTTATTTAAATCCACAACTGAACCCTTAATTCGGGTCTATTGCTTTGCCGGCACCAAGTCCATAAAAGACCTTACGCAGATGCACTTCTTTTTACCTTCTAAGATGAACAATTCCAACATGACAGAGGCATATGGCAAGTATTTTGGAAGATTATAGTCATCCATGTTCACAATGTAGTTGTTCAAAGCGAGTGGAGTCTGCCCAAACATAATAAAATTAATAATTCTAAGCTATTTAAAATGAAAAATTGTAAAGGAAAAGGACATTGCTTCGTAACCAGAATATTGTGTTTATATTTCATGGTGAAAACTGTTACTGAATATTAAATCAGTTATAAACAGGCTTGAATTATTACGTATTTAAAATTAACTATGATTTTGGGTAATTGTTAAACGAAGAAAAGCGCAAGTTACTCACTTTTGGAAATGGGCATCGTGCTGAGATATTTGAGTTTTCGGTTAACTGTTTAAATACGTTTTTCTGACTTTTCAAGGTATTGCAGAGATCGTTCGAACGTACGGTGTAATAATTTGGTTTCCAACCTCCATTTCCGGAAGCAACCGAGACATCCAATTGGGCCTATGACATATCAATAAATAAAATATTTTTATTCCACTTTGCAGGATATAAAATTACTCCGATATGTTCGTCAATCGCATGTTTTGGTATGGTGGTGAAAGTAACAGCGGTCGCCTTCCTCGACAATTTCTTCGTCTTCATCGTGAAATTCCACAGATCTTTGGTATTTCCGTCTGGCGGGCAGGGTTCGGAGTATTTGAACAAAATATCAACCTTTCCCTGAAAGAAACGTTAAAGATATTAACAATTGAAACGTAAACAAAAATAAATTATATTTCATGGTCCGATTGACCAAATAATTTTTTTCAATTAATTAATCTTCATGTAAGGTATTGGTTTAAGTGAAAATGTTAGTGACATTAGCGGGATTCGAACCCACGACCTTCGGCTAAATACGCCGCTATTCTACCACTGAGCTATCGTGACATCGATTCACTCGGACACCTTTTTGCCATGCCAGAGTGGTGCGTTAAAATTATCTATCAATGTATATGCCTATTGCAGAATAAATTTTAATTAACTTAATTCAAAATGGAAGCAATAGTTTAAAAGTTTTAATGAAAATGTAACCACCAAGGATAATTAATTAATTAACCAACACCCCATCTCAACCCCACCTTTCGAATTTTCCTTCCTTTTTGCCATTTTTCAAATGTTTAATATTGAACTAACTAGAGTGGTGCGTTAAAATTATTCATCAGTGTATGCCTATTGAGGAATAAATTTTAATTAACTTGGGACAAAATGGAAGCAATAGTTTAACAGTTTTAATGAAAATGTAACCACCAAGGATAATTAATTAATTAACCAACACCCCATCTCAACCTCCCTTTCGAATTTTCTTACCTTTTCCTTCTTACCTCTTACCTTTTGAAAAATTACAGAAAAGCGGGAAAATTCAAAAGTTACTGTTGAGATGGTAAGTTGGTGTCCGAGTGGATCGAAGTCACGATAGCTCAAGTGGTAGAGCAACGGCATATTTAGCCGAAGGTCGTGGGATCGAATCCCTCTCGTGACACTAACTTTTTCATTTCAACCAAAACTTTACTTAAAGATTAGTAAACAAAAATGTACAAAACCTTTTCTTACCATTTTAAATCCGTGCGGTTCTATAAAAAATGCGGTTAAACTCATGGCAAACAAGCCCCAATGGTATATGGAAATTTCCATAGCAGCTGGGTTAATACTAACAAGCTTTTCCTGTTAAACAACTTCAACATTTGGAATATGAAAGTTAAGTAGAACTTTTAAAAACGCATTACCTAAGGAAATGTTCCTCATTAGTGGAACCGAACAAGGTTGAAGAAATTATCAACTAATGATTCAATCCAGTCCACATGTCAGTTTGAAATGGTGAATGAATGATAACTACATAACGATTTCAGTATGAGAGTGTGTATGCGTGTGTGCTGAGCAATCTAAAATGTTTGTTATTTTAATTTATTATAGGTATTGGTAGACATAAGTCAATTGCATTAAATTAATCTCCAGGATATTTTTTAAACACCTACCAGAACCTTACACCTTCGGAGGTGCCAATTAACTAAAATTTTGTTTCAGAAAAGAGCCATTGAACTTAACCCCTGCTCAGACCCTATCTGGTTTGAAGGTGCGAGGAGAGTAAGGTTTTTTTCGTTTAATTCCTTGATTAATTAATACCATAATGGGTCTACAGGGGCTGGTATCCTTTTTAGAACAAAGCAGAAGGCACTAACTCTGATTTATTTAATTACTGCGTTAAAAAAACAACAACACAATTTGCAATATTCAGAATAAATAAATACAATTAAATCGAATAAATATTTTTTAATAATAAATATAAATATGTACGAAACTAGCCCTATTTGGAAGTTTAATCCTTTTGTATAACATATATTAGGGGTATTCACGTTGTTTGTAAGATGTTAGCACGTGTTAACTCGAATAGAGAAATGTCCAGTAAGATCGTGAACGCCCCTTCTTTTCTTAGCATGTTAAACGTTAATTTTTCCGCAATGCTGCACGTGGCGATTGGTAGAACCAAAAATAAAGCTATAACAGTCCTTGAAGGGTTGTTGTTGTTTGTTTTGGTTTTGTTTTGTGTTAAATTGTAAGATACCAGATGCTAATAAAAAAGGAAAATTAACGAACTCTTTCATTCAAAATTTTATCTATGCACTCGAAAAGCACTAACAATGACACGCTTCAATTTGTGCCGACATACCTAACTTGTATCCTGTACGTGGCGATTGGTAGAACTAAAAATAAAGCTATAATATTACTTGAAGGCTTTTTTTTTTTTCTTATAGGATATGGCATTCGTTTCTATTATGAATGAGAGTATAAGGACAGGTCAGAAATTAACAAAAAAAATGTATTGGTCTGATTTAATTAATGTGTATATAAGAATAAAAATATGTGTAAACAAAAAACAGCTGTTAAATTCATGGCTGCCATGTTGGTTACCTACGCCCGAACGGATAGCAATGTGAATACATTTTCGTCCTAACATCTAACATTGGCCCTGGCCTGTTAGATCGAGCCATGTTAACTAGCCGATTTTTACAAGTCTACGTCATCATTTTTCTCGATCTAACAGAACCTAACAGAGTTAACAGGGTTAACACAAAGATCGTGAATACCCCTAATACTTTGCATTTCGTAACTACAAAACGTCCGGGACAAAAAGGTAGCCTGCCCAAATATTTTCTTCTTACAAAATTGTTGACAAATGAACAAGTCACAAGTTACTTATTTTGTTAATACAAAGTTTATTTTGCTAAAATTGGAACATATCTCCATTAGGTCTTAATATAAAATCATTTTTAAGAATCAACAAATAATATATTTACTTACAAATCCTTCCAAGTAAACAAGACTGATTCAGTTCTGTTTCTGCTCTCATTATGATACAATTTTCAGGTTCAGTGGGATGAGCAAATTCATTAATATCAGTTAAGAAAAATATTATTCAGCGACAGAAAAATCGAGGATTCTGCATTTCTGATATATCAGAAAATACTTTTTGAAGGAGAATTATTATAAGATTTTTGCCGAGTTGTATAATTTTTCTCCAAAAAAAGGTAAAAATTTGAAACTAGATTAAATAATCTTAAAGACGTATTTTTTTCTTTTTTTTTATAGCGTCACTGGTTGAAGAGAAATTCAGCCGGTCCAAATAAAAAGGACATCCTGTATACAGGTGTCAGCTTCAGGCATATATGTTTATATTTTCCGTCTCTCCTTCGCTTTGCTGATATCACAGTTGGAGTTCGCCAAGGGTGAAAAGCGATGTTTTGTCCACATCCAGTTTGTCTTTGAGGTTGAAGATGTGTGGATTATGAGTTGATACGTCTACATCCAGTACGTCCAATTAGTTAAGTCTCGTTGCATAATTTTCGCGGAGAAAAACTGTCACTTTGTCTTTTGAGATTTCGATTATGTCATGGACGCGTTGAAACCATCAATGAACATCCACCTGTATTTGAAGGATGGCACCTGTATTTAATAACAAAAAAGAAGAATTATGCTAGCTGGTTTGTATTATTTTCACATTGAATTATTTATCTTTTCAGTATTTAGTATTTCATTCAATTCATTATAAATTATAAGATTAGGTAAACATCAGTACATAAATATTTCAAAATTTATATATGCATATGTCACTCTATTTATTTATTAGAATTACGTCTGTATAAGATAAGGCAAAAGATCCTTACATTGTAAATGAAAAGGTTTCCAAATAAAATTATAAAAAGTTTGAAAAAAAAAAGAAATAAAATCAGCTTCATTGATATTCAACCCTTCATGATGGAGTTCAGCCAAAAAAAAGTACAACGAACATCGAAAAAATCGTATTATTAACTATGCTATCTTTTTGTGCCACCCTAAATTTAATATTTATATTGATTCATTGTAATCATTTACCGCTATCACATAACGGATATAATAGAGGTATTCACGATTCTGTTAGTTCTTGTTAGGTCGAGAAAAACGATGACGTAGACTTGTAAGAATCGGCCAGTTAACATTGCTCTATCTAACAGGTCAGGGCTAATGTTAGAGGTTAGGTCGAAAATGTAGTCACATTGCTATCCGTTAGGGCGTAGGTAACCAACATGGCAGCCATGACTTTAACAGCTGTTTTGTATTTACATGTATTTTTGTACTTAAATATGCATTAATTAAATCAGATCAATACATTTATTTGTTAATTTCTGACCTGTCCTTATACTCTCATTCATAATAATACATCACCTATCCTATAAAGTTGTAGGCTGTTAAACGATAGGATACAAGTTAGAAATGTCGCCACGCGCAGTATTGCGGAAAAATTAACGTTTAACATGCTAAGAAAAGAAGGGGACGTTCACGATCTTACTAGGCATTTCTCTATTCGAATTAACACAAGTTAACTTACAAACATCGTGAATATCCCTAATGTAGTGAAACTTTAGCAAAATAAGTTATGAATTATAAAAAGAATTATCTATTTTAAAATTTCGTTAACAGGAAAAAAGGGAGAGCTATCGTTTTATCCGTAAATACCTTAACTATTACCTTACTAACTTTATCCTACGTATTAACTACCTGAATGTAAATATTTATCCGACTCGTATAAATTAAAAATTAAACATGACCACTCATGATGCCCGCGTTGTAAGAGTTAAAGGTGCTGAAGAAATTTTTTTATTTTGTAAATTCTTCCATGTCTGACGGCCAGCACTTTGGATTCGGCTTCCGACTCGAAACTAGGGTCCTGGTTTCGAATCCCGCCATAGCCCATGAATTTTTAATCCTGAATAATATGAAGACAGTATTATTTGTAATTTTAGTATTTCAACGGGTAGTTGAACGTTAAGCCCTCCTGCATGACAGGAATTATTTTTTTAAAATTGTAGATATATAGGATTGGTAAGTATAGTGGTAAGTATTGTTTACTTTTTCATTTCGTCATATTTTTTATTTATCAGGTATATATTGGATAATAGCATTTTTAGTACTTATCTTTTAATTCAAAATTTTAAAAGTTTATGTATACACCGAATTTCCTGTTTTACCAGGAGGGCTTAAATGTTATAAGCAGGCTGATTTCCGATTTCGCAGGGAAAAGCACAAAGGAGACCCCTTTGCAGTCAGCTTAATGTAAAAATAACACAGAAAGAAACAAGACATAACCCCTCGTTTATGAGCTCTTCTAAAACGAAGGCACATAAAGGCGTTTACACTACCCCTAACCCCTCATAGTTTTAAATTCAAATAATTTCGCCGTGTTCCACCGTTTTTAGGGTCTCTTGCAGTAAATGGAGGCTGGTGGGTAAAAAAACCTCTGGCACTTTTATAGCTTTTAAGGCACGTTCCAAAATTTCGTGATCGATTACATAAACATCAGGAAAAAAAAAAAAAAAAAAACGAGAAACGAATTAAAATCTTGCCATCACTTGTTACTATTTTCCAAGATTTCCCGTCTTCCCAGCAAGAATTTCGTTTGGGAGCAATTTTTGAGCCAATAGAGCTCATGTTCAACATCTGGCAGCAGCCTGCCACAAAAGAAGATACGAGAAGATACATTTAAAATGAATCCTTAATGAGTTTGAAACCTGGTAGAACAATACCACGGGTATGAGGCAGGCAAAACTTACAAAAGAATTGCTGGAAGCCATCCGCAACAAACAGGATTCTGGTTGGACTTCTGACAGAGCACTGCCACTTAAGTTAGCACACCCACTCGTATAGAGTACAGGCAGAAGAAACACTGTGAAGATACTGCGAGGAAGAGGAGGAGACCGCAGAAAACATTTTATGGTTCTGCGAAGGTCTGTGTATGTGCAGGTTCTTTCAAGGCGGACATGAAAAACCACAAACAAGATCCTACACCAAGGAACCGCTGGAAAGCTGTGGAGGTGGTTAATACCCAGAAGATGGTCAGTGAGTTATAAATAATAGAGGAGCACAATAGTTCTTTTTAGGTCGAGGTGCAGTAGGCCTTGTGGCCGTCTCTTTTATCCCTATCCCTAACATCTGGCAAGTTCGGCGGTTGCCCATCTCGGGGTGGGCGAGTGCTACCATGCTTCCAAGACTGAACCAAAGCAAAATTGTTCCTCCTTGATTACTAGACTAGGCAATCGATTACAAGTCACGCCAGCTTTGCAAGCTACCTAAAAAAATGCGATCGCAAGAGGATGTCAAACACAAGATCTTAAAAAAAGAGAGACCGCCCATACTTAAAAATCTAGTCCAAATGATGCAGCTCTACCAAGCTGTAAAACATTTTGTGTGATAATGCTGTGAAGGATATTTTATTCATGTTTATTTATTTTATTAAGTTTAGTAAATTGCAACCATTCGTTAGGAAATTTTATCTCAGTCTGTTTACCTCTTGACGTAATTAGAAAAAAAGAAAATTTTAATGATTACTTGATGGTAAGCTCTTCTGGATACTAATGTAAAATGGAAAACCATCAAAGGAAATACTTTGAATTAGAATAAATAAGTTTAAAGATACATAATCTCCCTTTGGCCTTTATAGGAGAGAAAAAATGAGGGCCTTAAGAAGCTTATTAAATTAAGGTTAAGTTTAATTGTACTTAAAGAAAGGTTAAGAGAAATCCCACCACAGTTGTAAATTTACCATACCAAGTAGCCCGTCGTTCCGCTGGTATAGGGTCCCCCACGGACGTGTTAACGTTTCGATCTTCATTTAGATCATCTTCAGGGCCTGGGATTTATAAACATTGGTTAAATTATACAAATAAATACAAGACATGAATATGACTTTGTACAATGACGAACGCAATATAGAAATTTTAGGTTTAATCAAAAGATTTGTTCTCACTCAAAGTGTGTCATTTCTGTGTAGATGTGTAACTGTTGTGTGCCGTTTTGAGAGTGTAACTGAGGTATTAATGTTTTTTATTTATATACGAATTGATATTTGATTTGGAAGGAGATGGGGTGTAAGTAAGGATAGAAATTCATTTTTCTTAGACGAGTCGGTTTCTTTGAGATGAAACGGATTGACAATGGAAACAAGTGATAATGGACGTTTAGATCTGATTAGCCTTTCAGGATTATTTTAGAGAGGATTGTTATGTACTACATGACTAATAATTTAAATAAATAAAAATAATGAGTAATAAATAATACTGATCACAGTTTGGATAATAATCAGATATTCCTTCTAAATAGTCGAGGCGAGGCTATCATGATGAGTCACTAACAACTTAGACACACGAGAACATAATGAAATACTCCCAGCTGTGTGGATATGTATGTTTACGGAGGACAATCCGTCGATGGGGAATTTTTTTTCCTGTTATTGTTTGTTTGATCAACCATTAGGGCCCTGCGACCCCGAACGTGTTGACAGAGGCGCCCTTCTGGATTTCCGAAAATCTGGGCAACCAGGTTGTGGCGACCATTATCTGAGTTTCAATATTACATATGCTACATCGTTCCGTGTGTAAATTGGTTGATTAAATTTAAAATAATTAGTGACCGTTTTACTAGAAATGTCAGTTGTCGTTCGTCACGCAGCGTCTGTTTTAACTTTACAATCGGCGACATTCGCAGGATGATTTGAAAAATGTGCAAATGGTTGATCGCCCAAAATGCCAAAAGGAAGATTTATGAATTGTAATACATGATGTATTGTATGTTTTCCCTGCTCCTTGATATGTTGTTAATAAAGAACTGACTTCTAAAAATTATCTACAATAGGGGTATTCACGATCTTTGTGTTAACCCCGTTAACTCTGTTATGTCCTGTTAGTTCGAGAAAAATGATGACGTGTTGAGAAATCAGAGAGTTAACATTGCTCGATCTAACAGGCCAGGGCCAATGTTAGGTGTTAGGTCGAAAATGTAGTCACATTGCTATCCGTTAGGGCGTAGGTAACCAATATGGAAGCCATGAATTTAACAACTGTTTTTTGTTTATACGTATTTTTATTCTCAAATACGCATTAATTAAATCAGACCAACAGATTTCTTTTGTCTTGTAAAACTTGTTAATTTCCGACCTGTCCTTATACTCTCATTTCTAATAGAGACATCCCACATCTTATAAAGTCGTAGGATGTTAGACCTTAGGATACAAGTCAGGTATGTCGGCACGAATTGAAGCATGTCATTTGGTAGTACTTTTGGAGTGCATAGAATGCATTTTGAATGAAAAAGGTGATTAATTTTCCTTTTTTATTAACTTCTGGAATCTTACAATTTAACAGGAAAGAAAACCAAAACAAACAACAACAAGCCTTCAAGGACTGTTGTAGCTTTATTTTTGGTTCTACCAATCGCCGAAATTAGTAAAAGACCTATGAGGACCTTAAAATATCGGGTTGTCCGGAAAATAATGCAGGATTTTAAGTTTTCATTAAAAAAAATCTATATAAAATATTCTGTTTACGTTTACAGGATTACTCATTTGTATGAATGTCAACACTTATTAATCCTCTTCCAAATGATATTGTTTGTTTACCTCTGTAGCATTCCGCTACTTGGAAATAATTCAGTCATCCTTATAATGTCAAAGCGAGAATTTCGTACGATTTTCTTTTACGAGTTTAAACTCGGCCGAAGCGGAGCCCAAACGGCTAGAAACATTAACCAAGTCTGGGGCGAGGGTTGTGTTAATGAGTGCACTGTGCAAAGGTGGTTTAAAAAATTTCGGGAGGGAGATTTCAGCCTTGAAGATGAAGAAGGTCGTGGAAGGCCTTCCTCTCTTAATGATGATGTTCTGCGATCAGTGGTGGAAGAAAACCCCAAAACAACTGTTCGAGAACTTGCAGAGCAACTCAAAGTCAGTAAAACGACCGTCGCTGACCACCTCAAGGCGATTGGAAAAGTGAAAAAACTCGAAAATTGGGTTCCACACTCATTAAACGATCGCCAAAAAAATCAGCGCTTTGATGTTTGTGCATCACTTCTTTGTCGAAACAAAAATGACCCATTTCTGGCCAGAATTGTTACATGTGACGAAAAGTGGATTCTCTACGATAACACTAGACGTTCTGGACAGTGGCTCGACAAAGGAGAAGCTCCAATACATTTTCCAAAGCCCCCAACTCATCAAAAAAAGGTAATGGTTACGGTATGGTGGGCTTCATTTGGTTTAATACACTACAGCTTCTTAAATCCTGGCGAAACCATCAATGCTGAATCATACTGTAACCAAATTAATACCATGCATCAGAAATTGGCAGTAATGAAGCCCTCTTTGGTCAATCGGAAAGGGCCCATTTTGTTGCATGACAACGCTCGACCACATGTGTCACGTGTAACGTCACAAAAATTATTGGAGCTTGGCTATGAAACTTTGCCTCACCCACCCTACTCTCCGGACCTCTCGCCTACTGACTACCATTTTTTTAGACACCTGGACCACTACTTACAACACATAATATTCAAAAATCAAACGGAACTGGAAAATGCATTTATTGACTTTATCAATTCTAAAAATTCTGAATTCTACTCAGACGGAATTAATAAGTTACCAACACGTTGGGAGAAATGTATTGAGAGTATGGGAAATTATTTTGATTAAAGAACATTGCTTTAAAGTAACTAGTTTCTTTTTTTTTTGTTTAATACCAAAATCCTGCATTATTTTCCGGACAACCCAATAGCTCGAAATCTTTGCAGTAACAACTGAATTTGCTTTTTTCTTCACGACCATAGAGGTATTCACGATCTTTGTGTTAACTCTGTTAGGTCCTGTTAGTTCGAGAAAAATGATGAAGTAGACTTGTAAGAATCGGCTAGTTAACATTGCTCGATCTAACAAGCCAGGGCCAATGTTAGATCTTAGGTCGAAAATGTAGTCACTTGCTATCCGTGCTATCTCAACTGATATTAATGAATTTGCTCATCCCATTGCACCTGAAAATTTTATCACAGTGAAAGCAGAAACAGAACTGAATCAGTCTTGTTTACTTCGAAGGATTTGTGAGTAAATATATTATTTGTTGATTCATAGAAATGATTTTATATTAAGACCTAATGGAGATAATATGTTCCAATTTTAGCAAAATAAACTTTGTATTAACAAAATGAGTAACTTGTGACTTGTTCGTTTGTCAACAATTTTGTAAAAGGACAATACTTGGATAGGCTAGCTTTTTGTCCCGGTCCTTTTGTAGATTTGCGACTGCACATTATAGGGGTATTCACGATCTTTGTGTTAACCCTGTTAACTCTGTTAGGTCCTGTTAAATCGAGAAAAATGATGACGTAGACATGTAAGAATCGGACAGTTAACATTGCTCGATCTAACAGGCCAGGGCCAATGTTAGATGTTAGGACGAAAATGTAGTCACATTGCTATCCGGTAGGGCGTAGGTAACCATCATGGCAGCCATGAGTTTAGCAGCTGTTTTTTGATTATACGTATTTTTATTCTTAAATACGCATTAATTAAATCGGCCCCGTTCATTTCTTTTGTTTATTTCTGACCTGTCCTTATACTCTCATTCATAATAGATACATCCCATCTCCTGTAAAGTTGTACGCTTTTAGACGTTAGGATAAAGGTCAGGTATGTCTGCACGAATTGAACTTTTCGAGTGCATAAATAGCATTTTGAATGACAGAGTTGATTAACTGTCCTTTTTTTTATTAACTTCTGGCTTCTTATAGTGCGACTAGTGTCGCAAGGTTCGCTACTACTAGTGAAGTAATAACATTGGTCACCAGGGGAAACGGTTTAGGGTCACAGGTCTTGAGTTCGAATCCAGCGGTCCTGAACTTGAACCCGACATACAAATCTTATTTTAAAAACACCGGAGGGCGTCGGTGGCCGCAAGGTTTAGTCTTTGACACGGCGCTCATCACTATAAGTTAAACGTCCCGGGTTCGAATCCAGCGGCCCTGCATTCGGACCCGACATACTTACAAATGGGCTTTTTTTCAAAAACACCTGCACCCCGAAGGTTGACATGACCTCAGCTCTTGCGAACCGTCGAAAAAAAAAACTTTTGAACAAGACTTTAGAGAATTAAATGCGAAATGCTTCATTATATTTCATATTTTCAGTAAGTGTTACAAATATCCCTACATCTCCCTCTTCTTTAGCTTATAGGCTGTGCGAATCCGATCTCTCCCCTTTCGACGGTTGGGTAATCAACCATAAAGTGATAAGTTTATTTCACTCCATAACATCACACCACAAGAAATTGCAGGCTGAGCGGTGAACGTCTCGTGTGAAAGGATTATCCATACTCCAGATCTACCGTACGGATTACATATGATATTTCATAAAATCATTAATGTAAATATAAACCTCAATTATACTATGTTCTTTTAAAACTTTCATTACATCACTTAACGCAATGACCACATAAAAGCGATATTTGAACTTTTACGATGTTAATATTGGAGGAATAGTGAAAACTCGAATCTGCTTTCCACCAGCTAGATTCGTAATTGGATTCCACAGGGATTGTTGCATTCCCGGATCTTGCCACGCAATTGGTTAACCTCCGTCCCATTACGTCTGTTTGCCCTCTTCTCAAACCGACCTTTTATTAGTTTCAAAGTATTCGTTCCAAATAAGAAGACAAAAATTCCCAGAGGCTTTCCACGCCTCTTATTGGCTTTGATTAAAATCCCTTCCGTTTAAGAACGGTTGACATGCTGTGAGGAGCGTTCTGGAAAATACTGTAATATTTAATATATTAAGGTAACGATAAAAAGACTATTAAACTACACAAGAGTTTTATTGTATGCACAAACGGGTATGTGCCACTGTTAATAACCGCGTAACAAACAATAACCCTCAGTATTCTCTTTGGATCACCCTCTATCCTCACTAGAACTCACTTTACGCTTTATAATCAACCAACCCTACTGCTACATACTTTCTGATTTCACCATCTCTGCAGCAGGTAGCTGACCTAATTTAATTTGATTCTTTAATAACAAAAATTGGCATTTAGGAGTTGTAAGATTTGATCTTAGATACCAATTTTCTGTTATTAAAATTGAATGTAAAACGTATTAGTTTAGATAAAAACGAATTAATAATTCTCAAAGAAAATAGATCGAAATTTGAGAAATAGCTTACGTTTCTAAAGTGGCACATAAAAATAATGTATACGTATGAAAATAATTTTTTGGTTTGAGTAATGAGTACTCAAAATACCATTGATGTGTAGACTATAGAGTCGAAGGAAAATACTTTAGTTGTTGTTTAATGAATCCACTTTTTCTTACAATTTTGAGTACGATAATTTTAGTTTTGAAGTAAAAATTTTGCGGGTAAGCAATAACTCGTTTTGACATGATAAGAGAATTGGTGATCATCTTAAAATATATTAATTTAAATGTAAAACCGGTCTTATTCCAAGATCTTCGATCGGTGGACTAAGTTGGACTAATCGGTAGTACAGCTTTCGCTATGCTAAACCCGCATGACAGATCTGTCATGAGTGGTTTTACCTACCCACATAATTTTACACATTTTTATTTCTGATTGCATGCTACTTTTTTATCCACTACTTAACTATGTATCTATATAAAATTGCGTATTTTAATTTTGGTATGGAGTCAGACAAAGTTTTATACTGTAATCTGTATACTGAATATATTAAAAGCACGTTCAGTTTGTGCACTCTAATCCTTGATGGTTACCATACTAACACTTTTTTTTCTTTAAATGTGATTAAATTATAGTGGTTCAGTTAAATAAGCCTAAGGGTAATCATTATAAATTCACATTATTAGTTCGAAATTTATTTCAAAACTCTTTTTTCTCTGTCTCTGTCTCTCTCTCTATCTCTCTTTCTCTCTCGTTTTCTCTCTTCCTCTTTCTTTCTCTCTCTCTCTCTCTCTCTCTCTTTCTTTCTCTTAGAGAGATGGAGCGAGATAAGATATGTGAGACGGGTTGGAAGTCACTTGTTCTGGAAGAAGCTGACACAGCTCTCCACAGACAATAGAAAATAAGCAAAATCGGACTCAGCCACCCCACCAAAAATGTATCATTAGGTTTTAGTTGCTTGCCATACGTTACAGAACTATTAGAAAAATTAGAGGAAATTCTTAAACAAGAAGGTTTTAGAGTAGCTTTTAGAGGTGCGTGCTTACTTAGAAACATCCTCTCAAAACCTAAAGACAAGGTAGACAACTTGTCAAAAAGCTTTACCAACTTAATTGTAATGATTGCGATATTAAATATATAGAATAAAGCGGCAGAAAAATTGAAACGAGCTTTTAAGAAAACTCGAATATATCGAATAAATTTTCTGAATTTAACGACCAACTAAACGAAACCAAATTTCAATTTAAATACACGAGTGTTACACAGTTTCCACAATGGAGGGAATTGGATTGGTTTGAGAAATTTGAAATGAATATAAATTCGAAAATAATATCCCAGACTTTGATGTACCTCAACTTTAAACATATACATAAAACATACATATTAATCATTTATTGAAAATTATTTGCTAACAGTATTTAAGTTCCGGTTAATCCGACTGCAAAATAATGTGTGGCAATTGTGTACCAGCCATCCTTTTAAAAAGTGAGCAGAAACCTTTTTATTTTTCTATGATTCTCGTTTTTTCACAATTTTCCCTCTTTTCCACATACATACACACATTCGCCCTCTCTCTAGCTCTCTCTTACTCTTCCGCCCCCTCAATCACTCTCTCTCTCTCTTAATTTTTGAGAGAGGTCGTTTGCGACATAAATTTGCAAGATTTTTTTTGATAGAACTATATTCATTCCTTCTCACTCTCTCTCTCTCTTTCGTAATTTTTGAGAGAGGTCGTTTGCGACATAAATTTGCAAGATTTTTTAAATAAAACTATATTCATCCTTCTTTCTTTCTTTCTCTCTCTCTCTCTCACTCTCTCTCTCCCTCTCCCTCTCACTCGTTCTCTCTCTCTCCCTTTCTCTCTCTCTCTCGCTCTCTCTCGTAATTTTTGAGAGAGGTCGTTTGCGAAATAAATTTACCAGATTTTTTACATAAAACTATATCCATTCCTTCTCTCTCTCTCTCTCTCTCTCTCCCTCTCCCTCTCACACACACACTCTCTCTCTCTCTCTCTCTCTCTCTCTGTCCCTCTCTACCTATTTATTACCTACTTATCTATCTATCTGAATCTCTCCGCTCTCTTGTTCTCTCTCTCTCTCTTTCTCTCCGTATTTGGGCTCAAGAATATCTATCTCGTTATCCGAAAGCAAGTATGGTAAGTTTTCGCTAACTCTTTCGTCGGAAAAACCTAATATTTGAACCAGATAGAGAATGCCGTTCAGTGTAACAATAGATATCGCTTGTTCAATTGATTTGAATCGTAACGATCTAGGAAATCATTTTTCCGCCCGATGGTGGCTTATTGATTTCTAATATTCAACCAGTTTATTTCCAACTAAACAGACATGTTAACCCAACTCGTACTGGCTTTGTCAATGCTCTCTCACGGCATGGCAGATATGGTAATACAATCAATACATCTAAGTAGTTAATGTGCCCATGTTCAAAACCGGTTTTAGGGACCTGGGGACATTTGGGTGGAATTTGTGGAACGATGCCCCAACAAACGAGAGGCGGATTTGGAGTGGTACATACGTCTTCAAAAGTACAACAGGTCATACGCCACTGTTTCTTTTAATGCGACATTGCCTTATGAATTCAGTGATGATTTGTCGGTAATGTACAGAATTTTATTTGGTTAAAACAGTCATTGAGAATTTTTTTTTTCAGATTTCGATTGCTGTTTTTTCAAAATCTAATGGTGCTTGGAAACCTAACTTTTACAACTTCAACTTTAAAGGGCTCTGCCATAGCCTGAGGGAGTATAATTGGTATATATTTAGCGATATAGCGAAATCTATGAATGCAAAGCCACAGTGTCCTCTGCCGAAGGTATGTTCTATACATGGTATATTGATGAATACGTTTAAATTCATCTGTTTTTGTGGTCCGCTTGACCAATTACTATCTTTCAATTAATTAAGGTTTTTAGTTGAGATAAAAAAGTCAGTGTCACGAGAGGGATTCGAACCCACTATCTCCGGCTAGATACGCCGCTGCTCTACCACTTGAGCTATCGTGACTTCGATCCACTCGGACACTAACTTCCCATCTCAACCCCACCTTCGGAATTTTCCCTCCTTTTTGCCATTTTTCAAATGTCATGTAATCTATTTGATTCTCGGAGAAAAATGAAATTTCCACGAAAAGCATTAGTGAAGGTGAAAAAGGTCACGACTGTTCAAGTGGTAGAGCAGCGGCGAAGATCGTGGGTTCGAATCCCGCTCGTGGCACTGACTTTTTTATCTCAACTAAAAAACCTTAAATGATTGATGAATACATTGTTTTATCAACTCAAAAATAAGTAAACTTTAGTTACTTCAATGAATCAAATGAAAGATTATTCGCGTTTACTATGACAGTGATCACTGAGAGAAATAAAATATAAATAAATTAACATAAAATTTCTCAGTTTACTACATACAATCAAACATTAAATTAACGTCAAATTAAATAAAAATATTATTTTGCAGGGGTTGTACAAACTGACCAATTTGGATTACATGAGCAAAGTTTCGAAGTTGCCAAGTAGCGTGTTGCCATACGGTAAATTCAAAGCTGAAGGCAATATTTTCAACAAACACCACAAACTTGCCGTTTGTTTCGATGTTTACTTTGCAATATCACCAAAAAAAATAACCAGGAAGAACCGTCTGTAACTTTGCGCCATGTGAGATTTAATGAACCAACTGTTCAATATAGATAATACTTAAAAATTCTTGGTAATCGTATGAAATTAAATGGCTTACAAGAAAATTATAAAAAATTTCTTTCCTGCAGTTTTCCTCATTAAATTGCCTTAAAAAAGGCTCTACCACTTGAGCAATCGTGACCTCGATCCCTCCTTTTTTCATTTCACTAAAGCTTTCCTTGGCCATTTCATTTGTCGCCGAGAATCAAATAGATTACACATTTGAATAATGGCAAAAAGGAGGAAAAATTCAAAAGGTGGGGTTGAGATGGGAAGTTAGTGCCCGTGTCACGGTAGCTCAAGTGGTAGAGTAGCGGCGTATCAAGCCGAAGGTAGTGGGTTCGAATCCCGCTCGTGACACTGACTTTTTATCTCAACTAAAAACCTTAATTAATTGTATGATATTAATTGGTCAATCGAACCACGAAAATTAGTGGATATTAATAATTTAATCTAAATTACGTTCAATGGGGTACTTTTATAAATATCGACCCTAAAACGCTGCAGGACAAAGAGATCTTTTCGCGTTGCAAGCAACAAACTTTCATCTCTCTTAGTAGCCGTTCCACATTGTGTCCGGCTCTGTTTTTCATTTTTCTAAATCGTATGTCAAAACGCATTTTGTGCCACCTAGCGCTATATGCTTATGACATTGCGCTCTACTGCTCGTCTTGGTGAGGTAGTGTGATAACAAAAAAGGTAAAAAAGGAACTTGCGTTAATGAAGCATTTTCGCTTTTGATAGAAGTTGGAAATAAATGTCCCCAAAACAATAGCCGCATCTTCATTACCATTCGCAGACCCTTGATTCTCCATCATGTATTATTTGAGGGAATACATTTTGACTGGTCCAAAACATGCTTGAGTTCAAACTAGAACCAAAACTAAATTTCACTGAATATGTGAAAGCCGTGGAAGAAAAATGAAAAGCTATTACAGTCCGGTTTCCGTTACTTGGAAGAGAATCTGCCATGTCCATAAATAACAAACCGATGATCTACAACTTGATCGTCAAACCAATGTTACCATATAGCCCGCCTTTCTTGCCAATCACTTATGCCAATCAAATATAAAATAACTACAAGGTATACAGAACAAATTTCTGCGACTCGCCGTAGGCTCCAGTAGAAAGGAAATGAGCATGAAATCACGAAACCAACATAAATTGGAGAAGAGATACAAGAAGCGACTTCACAATGCTTGAAATGTACAAAATGAAACAAAAACTACTTGAGCATGTAGCTTTTTATAAATTTTTGGTTTATTCTTTTCTTACATTTATTTGGTATTTACAACTACAAATATTATGTTTGGTGATTACTGACCGTTAGTCAATGATTATTCGGAAATCGTGAGGTAATTAATATTTTTTGCATCTATAAATTCACCCACATCCTACATGTACATATTTGTTAAAATGTTTGTAAATCTCAGGCCCTGAAGATGATCTCAATAAAGATCGAAACGTCACACCAGACCGAATCTCACGATTTTCGAATAATTTAAACAATGTTTGTAAATCTCAGGCCCTGAAGATGATCTCAATAAAGATCGAAACGTTGGCACGATAAAAAAAAGTTTTTCTGAAATCTACATTTAGGGAGTCGCAGTAGCCGAGTGGTTAGCGGGACAGACTCTCGGCTCATAGACCCCGCGGTCGTGGGTTCAATTCCCACCGTCGCATCTGGCCTTTTTTTCACGATACCCTTCTCCCCAAAACGAATACGCATAACATATTGTCTTGCATTGGCTAATATGCAGAGTACATTAAACCATTAAAAAAAAAAAAATATAAAATAAAAAATAAAACCTACATCACACTAGACCGCACCTCATGATTTCCGTAGAAATATTATATTAAGTACTGTTCATGTAAAGATGGTAGAGCTACCACAATAGCTCAAGTGGTAGAGCAGCGGCGTATTTAGCCGAAGATCATGGGTTCGAATCCCGCTCGTGACGCTGACTGTTTTATCTCAACAACCTTGTTTAAATATTAATTAATTGAAAAGAATTTATTTTGTCAATAGGACCACGAAACCTAATGAATTACTAGTAATCCTGGAACACAATGGAGAAATATTATTTATTTAGAAACTAATGCCTTGTATAGATACAAGCCTATCAGTTATATTTAGTAGCTATTAAGGCTTTACATCAGAGCTATGATTAATTCACCCTGAAATGTTAGTAACAGCGCGATACCGCACCCGAGAGGTAGTAGCAACTTCCATGCATTATTAGCTATTCCCAAGGGGCTCAAGGGCCATTCAGACAAGGGATGATGCTAACCTCGTTCCACATACACATGTCTGCTTCTATACTTTTCATTATCGGAACTTCAATTGTACTATAATTGGATTTGCATATCCACCCCTGAATTTAGAGTATTGCAAAAGTAGTTTTCAGATCAGTTCGACATATTCGGTGCTTGGAATGATAACTGAGGGGCAAATTCCATTATTACGTTACTTTTGTTTAAAAAAAACGCTTTTCATCCTACTAGGGGCGTTTTATACAAGTATGCGAGTTAGTGAGATAGCGGCTTCCATAAAACTTTTATACATTAGAATCCTTTAAAATTATGACAACTCGGTACGGAAACATAAATTTTTCATATTTAACAAAACAGTTACTTAATGTCCTCAAAAACAAAGCTTGACACTCATATTTTGTTGGTTATTCCGAACTATATGTACAATTGTCCTTATATTAATTACAACTAATTAAGGTTTTTAGTTGGGATCAGAAAGTCAGTGTCACGAGCGGGATTCGAACCCACGATCTTCAGATCCGAGTGGATCGAGGTCACAATAGCTCAAGTTGTAGAGCAGCGGCGTAAAAATCTGAAGATCGCGGGTTCGAATCCCGCTCGTGACACTGACTTTTTTCTCTCAACTAAAAACCTTAATTAATTGAAAGATATTAAACGGTCAAGCGGACCACGAAAACTAGTGGAATTAATTACAACGTTCATATTTTAATGTAAAGCTAAATAAGATCAGAAATTCATGACTTTTCATAAAAATTATTTAACTAAAGTGATTTGAAAGAAAATTCACCAAATACAGGCAAATAATTTCTTAATGGATTAATATTTAAACCTAGTTTTGCTCTTATTAACGTCTAAGTCTCCTAGGCATCGAGTAAATAAGCGACCGCATTTTGTCTAATGAAACAAAATCCAATCCTTCAACAAGAGCGGTTTGAAACTGTTCAACCCTTTTTGGAGGTGGCGAACTATGTCTATACCGTCTCTTCATCCCATCATATAAGCATTTTATAGGATTCATGTCATCAGGGGAGACAACTCGAGCTACATGTCGTTGAATATAATCGCAAATTAATAGAAAATATTGCTCAATAGTAAGAGCGAATGAGATCACAGCATTTAGAAGAACATCCCCAATGAATCTTCGTGTAGTCAAAGTTCAATTCTATACGATAATTAGTTCGGTACGGGCTTGGAGATACAGGCAGACGCCATTCTAGGTTTGCCAACTGATGCCACTACTCCAAAATACAACTTTACCAAGAAGTACAAGATACTGATACCAGAACGGGCAGAATGGTTCAAAGGAACACTACTAAAGACAAATTCCTACTGCTACACTGACGGCTCCAAAACCGACAAGGGTACGGGAGCTGGGGTTTGGGATGACCGCAAGACCGAACTGATGGTAAACCTAGGGACGTATGCTACAGTTTTCCAGTCTGAAATCATAGCAACTGAACTATGCCAGAGAAATAAAAAGGTTAGAAATACATTCCCGGAAAACATTTTCTCTGACGGCCAGGCAGGACTCTGGGCCTGCTTGGTGAAGGCAAAGAGTGTTTGGAACTGCATGGAGGCCCGGACAGAATTCAACGACACTAATGACCTGACCACGGCATGGGTCCCTGAACATTCGGGGCATAGATGCAAAAAAGTTTGACATGTTGGCCAAAAAGGAAGCCGACATGTACTCTATGGGCCCAGAACCCTACTGCGGCAAAGCAGCCTACCACAAAAGAGGATACATCTTAAAATGGATCCTTAATCCTGGTGGAACAACACCACAGGTATGAGGCACCCGAAAAGATTCATAAAAGGACCATCCGCAAAACGTACAAAAGAACTACTGGAACGTAACCGCCACCGAGCTAAGATTCTGGTTAGACTTGTGAGAGGGCACTGCCACTTAAGAAAGGACTTAAGGGCACAGGTACAGGCAGAAGAAACACTGGGCAGATACTTTCGAGGCCCAAGTCGGCGAACGTAACTACTAGACCAAAGACGCCGAAGGAGACCCCTTTGCAGCCAGCTTAATGTAAAAATAACACAGAAAGAAACAAGACATAACCCCTCGTTTATGAGCTCTTCTAAAACGAAGGCACATAAAGGCGTTTACACTACCCCTAACCCGTCATAGTTTTAAATTCAAATAATTTCGCCGTGTTCCACCGTTTTTAGGTTAAAAAAACCGTTGGCTCTTTTATAGCTGTTAAGGCACGTTCCAAAATTCTCGTGATCGATTACATAAACCTCAGGGAAAAAAACGAGAAACGAATTAAAATCCTGCCATCCCTTGTTACTATTTTCCCATCAGATTTCCCGTCTTACCTGGAAGAATTTTGTTTGGGAGCATTTTTGGGCCAATAGAGCTCATGTTCATCAATATCTGGCAGTAGCCTGCCACAAAAGAGGATACATCTTAAAATGAATCCTTAATGAGTCTGAAACCTGGTAGAACAATACCACGGGTATGAGGCAGGCGAAGAGATTCATAGAAAGACCATCTGCAAAACTTAGAAAAGAATTGCTGGAAGCCGACCGCAACCCAATCAGGATTCTAGTTGGACTTCTGTCAGGGCACTGCCACTTAAGGATAGGAGTACAGGCAGAAGAAACACTGTGCAGATACTGCGAAGAAGAAGAGGAGACCGCAGAACACACTTCATGTTTTTGTAAAGATCTATGTAGGTGCAGGTTTTTGCAATTAGAACAAGAAAAACCACAAAAATGATCCTACACCAAGGAGCCGCTGGCAAAGCTGTGGAGGCTAGTTAA